ACACCAAGAGTATCGAAACTGAGGGAGTTAAAGTCCTGTAATATGGTATTTTTGATTGGTTATTTAAAGTTTAAAATCATTTTTTCACCCGTATTCTATGAATGGTTTAGGGTCAATAATCGAACATAATAAAGAAAAAAAAATAGCGCGCATGTTTTGTTGGATGATAAAGTTCAGCTTTATATACCTCAAATCACTAAATTTGCTGAAATTAACATTTATATTATATTATTTTAAGCTATATCTTGGTGTTATAATTTAGTTGTTTGCTCGAGGGAGTTGATAATCGCGATTATGATGTAATAATTGAAAGTTTCGTCTATTATCTAGAGCCAAGGGTATATTATTCAACAAGAGGGAATCTTCAATAGCCGCGGCACTTGAAATTCTTTCAATCAGGATTAGAGTAAATTAATCTATGATACCTTTTTTTTTGCCCCACAGTGGCACAGCGGCATGTCCGCGGACTTACAACGCTAGAAACCGGGTTCTGATAACCGTGGTGGGCGGAGCATAGATAGCCCGTTGTGTAGCTTTGTGCTTAATTCCAAACAAACAAACAAACCTTTTTTCTTTTTTTATTAGCTATATTTTTTGTGCATCAGCAATACCAAGCGTGGGACGCGCGTATATATCCGATTCAATTTTATTACTCATCAAGATCTTTACCAGCCTACCCTCAAATTGAAATTATTTAGCCAGGATTAGAGTAAATTAATCTATGAGATCTTGGGCGTGGTCAAATACATTAATCTCAAGGGTTTGACCTCCTGAGTTCAAAATTGTAATTAGGTCTCAAATCGGAGATGACGGAGCTATGAGCTAAAAGTTTGTTTGTACTTGAAAAACAAAACAAAAATTCAGAGCCATTCTATAAGCCGCTATGGCGCGGTTAAAAATACGAGTGAGGAGTTATTGAGTATTCACCAAGTTTATCATTTCAGTGTCAGAAAAGCGAATCAGTGTGAGAAGTGAAAGTTATCGCTCCATTCAGTTACTAGATAGATTAGCGAAGACCTTCTGCAAATAAGTTTATTTTTGAATTAGGTGTACTTATCATTAGTCTCGGAATTTCTGTTGAAATTGCACTTGTGTAATTAGGCCCACAACTACAATTGAAAGTAGCCTGTAACAAACTTTAAGAAAGAAATATATTAATTCATTATCATTACATAGACTGGACTTGGTATTATGTTCACCAAATAATTCGCCAGAACCCGCCGAGCAATAAAACGCAGTATAACACTGTTATCAGAAGTGGGATTGTTTTCGTGGTGTAACGAATTTATTATTATGTATTTATTTTTAATATGAACGTTGTTTGGATTGAATTTGTATTTAGAAATACAAGTGACTTGTAGTATCAGATATGTGTTGCGTATAACGAATTGATTACATATTCATTTTAATGTCAACGTTTGTTTCAAATAAGTTTATATTTGAGGGCGTGTCTAGCTTACCGTGTTATTTACGTATGGCGAAATTCCTGCCAATTCTCCAAGATTGTAGAATATTCGTGAATACAAGAATCAACAATATATCCATTTCCGTAATAGGTATTATCAGAAGTTTCGAGAAAATGTGTCCCGCTTATAAAAACAGTAGGGCAACGTGCCAAAAAACTTCAGAGAACAGAGCTAATATACAAGTATGCTAGGAAACTGTTATAACCGTGTGTACGCGATAAGCCGTGATTTTGCTAATCCTTACCAACTGGAAAATATGCAACGTTTGGCCAGGAACATCTATAAATTTCGAACGTCAGTGAATTCTCATCAAACCAGCAATATCTTTCTAAAAATGTTGCTGGTTTCTCAGCAGACATTAATGGTTTTATGAAAATATTATCTTACTTCGACGGTCCAACAATTCAGTGCCTGAAAAAGCTAGCTAGCTTCCCGATACTTGTACGTACATCGACTTCAAGTTAATTCGCTGGATATCAAGGAGACTTTGAACTAGGAAGACGATTTTAGGCTATTTATAAGTTAGTGAAATTTTTGTTCATGAAACTTGGTTGGTAATAATTAATCATAATAGTTGCTATTGTAAATTGTACTGTTGTATACATATAAAACGTATTCGTGTCAAAACCAAAAATGGGGTGAATGAATCTTGTTGGCAAATAGCATAAATTAAATAAAATATCGGCATATTTCGAAACACTAAATCCAGGGTACCTTGCAACTATTAAAATTGAAATTATTTAACTGGGCTACGGATTATTTCAAATTCTCAATATGTAACAGTGGAAACGAAATATAATAATTTTATTAAACTTCAACTTTCGAGATGGCCATAGGGCACACAGCGAGATAGGAAACCTAACAGAGATGATAAAACAATAGAAAGAAGAACAAACAGAGCCTTAAAAATATACCAAAAAGAAAAAGACAGGAACTTAAAAGAAGAACTTGACAAATAATGAAAATAAAACCAAGAAAAAACATAGATCAAGCCAGCCACATTTCTTTTTACACACACTCAAGAATCCCAACCTAAAACACCATTTGCTACAGAATATGGTATAAGGAGAATTTACGTGATCTACACCTATTACCATTACTCAAGTCCAGTTCCAGAATTTAACTGGCTAATTCAACAACATCACATAGTTAAGAGACCAACGAAATACGATGTAAAGGTACCGTGGGAGGCATATCAGACTCAGTTTGAAATAATTTCCAAAGTGAACAGGTTGAATAGTGAATAATAAGCTGTTCTTCTTGTTGTCTATTCAAAACGACCAGCTTTAACAACAATAGGTAATCTTCCAGTTGAGAGCCGTAACAACTATGAAACATTATTAGCTGCCTTATCCAACAGTTTCTTAGTGACACACCAGAAGGAAGTACTCAGAGAAATGTTCCGGGTCAGGGTATAGTGGAAAGAAGAAGCCTTAGCCTAACACGCAGAAGATCTGGATTTGGAATTATGTTACCTGAATGCTCCTTTTGAAATGATTTGTTTGTTTGTTGTTAAGCACAAAGCTACACAATGGGCTATTTATGCTGTGCTCACCACAGATATCGAAACCCAACTTTTAGCGTCACGAGTTCAGAGACTTACTGCTGAGCTACTGAGGGTGTTTAAATGATGGATTCACTGGCACCTAACCAATTCATTACAGACCAGGATATGAGAATTAGGTTGAAGCATAACAGGTGTGTTTAAAGAAAGCTTTGCAGTTAGCAATTCAACTTGAATCCATTAAAGTCGCAGATAAACAATTAAAGACACCATCTAGAAGTTACCGACTTGAAAGAACATATAGTTTGGAACTGCAGTCAAAAGCCTGTATTGAATAATAACTCCTGTCAGAGAATACGGGAAAGAAGTAACTGATATAATTGTGGGAACATCGCAATTACATCCAGACTGTAGGAAATTAACAGCCATAATTAAATCAAGGAATCAGAGCCAAACTATAACAAAGGAACAACAAGGAACTAACCAGGCATTAAAAAGAACAAGAATTAACTGGATTTATAGGGCTAAGTTTAGCTGGGAATACTCCATCTGCCCCAAATGAGATAAGAAGTTCATTATTTGAAGAAAACCGTTCACGAGTCCATGGGTTCATTGATGGAAAACCCTATAGTGTATTGATCGGCACTGGTTAGATAACTGCAGTAGTTCGACCCGATTTGGTAATAGAAGGTGGGAAATTGTCTCGAGGGATGAAGAAAAATTGATGCGAGCAGCAGATGGACATAAAGTTCCAGCAAAATAAAAGTTGTGTTATGTGGCTAAATTATATCGAGGAAAAGTGCGTATTAAGAACTGACTTCATGCAGAGATTTGAATGTGAGGTTATGCTAGCATCAAATAGCTTTACATTCATGATCAGGAAATCCCTGTGTACTAGATGGTAGTTACTACACCAAAGGTTGAACCTTCAGTGACAACGGGGAGGGTAGTATTTGTACAACCAAGAAGTAAATACTAGGATTCATCAGGAATAAATTTACATCTAATGACTGGGGCTTAGTGGAACCAACTAAACACCCCGCTTCGTCCTCGATCGATTAGCGAGGAAATTCAGTAAGTAAGTTTATTTGTGAATTATGCATACTTACCATTAGTCTCGGAATTTCTGTGAAACTTCCTTTGTGCACTTAGATCTACAACTACAAGTGAAAGTAACCTGTAGCAAACGTTAAGGAAGAAATAAATGTATTCGTCATTGTTACGTAGACAGTAGTTGTCATTATTTTTACCAAATAATCCAAAAGAACCAGCCCAACAATAGAATACGTTACAACAGTATGACTGGTTGACATGACACAACAGCTAACGTTTTCACTGCATATGTTTTGGCCAGACATAGCTACGATCCTTCAGTCACATCTGTAGGGTCGAAATTACACAAACACAAGTCTTTATTCCCTGTCTGTTCAGCAAGGAGTCAGAATGCCGCTCCATATGCCTTTCGTAACTTGAGAATTGTTTGATGAAATATGGACAGACAAACAACCTTATAATATATTACTGAGCTTATTCTGGCTAGAGTTAACGTACTTTCAAGGTCAGATATTGCAGTTTCAGAGTAAGTAAACGTTTAGGTTTAAGTACGGTGGTCTTTATTCAATGACTGTGTTGGAAGAATGTTATGAAGAATTTATTTGTACGTAAGCATTTCTTATGAGAAGTACGTATATAAGCTATATAATCTGTAAAGACTTGTTGATTTTTTCTTGTTTTATTTGTGCCAGTTAGCATATAGTGAAACAAAATGCTGTTATAAGAATGCTGAAAGTACGACTGTTTTATTCTTTCATTTCTTAACAAACATGTTGAAAATACGACTATTTTATTCTTTAATTGCTTTATCAACATGAGCATGCTTGTTTCGGTAATATATTTTTTAAATTACATCTCAACAAAGATAGTCAGGTTATTAAACGATGTCTACAATAATTGATTTTTTTCATTTATTTTTCACTGTTTAAAGATTTACACAACCTATTATATATACATAATAATTACGTTATAATGTAAGCTACTCTTTATTTAAGAAATTCAAGTCTTGCAGGATTTAATATATAAAGTGAACACATCCCTAGAACTAAGATAATTTTGTTTTTATTTCTGGATCGTGTTCGTTACAACCACAGACAACAAAAATCTCATAACAAACCATATACACAACACTGTAGACACGTTTTTGATCTCGTATCGAACCTTTCATACAACAATGTGAACGTGTTTTCGACCTCATATCGAACCATTTCATATAGTAGTATAGACGTCTGTCTATTCGATCTCATATCGAACCATTTCATACAACGCTGTAGACATGTTTTCAAGTTGATGTAAGGCAACCGTTGCAAATAATGTTTGCCACTTTTAAAATGTTTTTTCAAAGCAGATGAAGTTGTTTTATTCGATAGTATAGTCATTCTTTCATACTGAAGGTTTTATTAGGCTTAACTAAACTCACTGGCTTTCGCAGTGTATTAGTAAGGATAAAACTTCTAGCTAGAAAGTATTCTAGTCTTTCAAAATTTTGATTAGATATTGGCAAGAAAACTGTTGCCACAAATGTGTCCAGACCACCTAACATCTATCAGGATATAAAAGGTACTATCTTTTCAACTTTCGTTTCTCGACGTTAAATTCTTTGCTGTATCTTGTTGAAAGCTGCTTCACAAACTCTTGTTTTAAAATCTTCAAACATCTGTAATATTAAAAAGATGGTACTTGAGGTTTAGATACTTATAAATAATTAATTATAACTTCAAAATCTTCAAAACATAACAAAACTGAGACATGAAGTTTAAATATTCATAAGTAATTATAACGTTATATGTATTGTATGGTAATATACACTCATATAACTGTATGAAGCCCAGTCTTGTTCTTTTGATTTGCCCTTGTCCAGGGTTGCTGATGAGAAGTGGAATTCCCCGAAACCGGTATAACTCAGTGACGAGTATGGTATCGAACGATAGATTGGGCTTCATATTTATTTTATTAGTTTCACTTTACTGGATTAATTGTCCCCCACTGGGAGAGCGGTATGTTTGCGGACTTACAACGCTAAAATCAGGGGTTCGATTCACCTGTATTAATTATCTAATTTTGCTGCTCTGGTTTTAACTGCATAGGACTGCTGCTGCCATCTTTGTTTCCTAAAGATATTAAACCAGCATTAAAAAAAAGCGAGAGAACAAATAAAATGTTTGTATCATTCCCTCTCCAGCTGCTGTAGTCTGTGGCAAGAACGCTAGGCAATCTTCATATCAGTGATAATGGCGCTTCTCCTTTCAACAACATTTTCATTGTACAACTGTCTTTTGGGAGGTCAGGCATGGCCAGGTGGTTATGGCGCTCGACTCTGAGGTTTCGCGGGTTCGAATCCCCGTTCCACCAAACATGCTCGCCCTTTCAGCGTTATAATGTGACGATCAATCCCACTATTCGTTGGTAAAAGAGATTTGGCGGTGGGTGGTGATGAGTAGCTGCTAAATTAGGGACGGGCCAGCGCAGATAGCCCTCGTGTAGCTTTGCGCGAAATTCAAACAAACAATGTTTTTTTTTTTTTCGTTATAAACTTTCGAAATCACAAGAATTGGCAAGTTTAAAATCAAGCAGAGCCCATACACTGTGGAGCTCAATTAGGTATTAGCATAAAGATCGAAACGTCGTCCTGCTCAATAAACAAGACAAGAGCAATAATTACAAATATCAACCCTGTAGGGCTGAAGAAAGTCTCAGCAGAGAGAGAGTGAAACGTTGTCAAACCCAAGGAACATAACAAAATTAGTCCATTAAAAATATCAACAACGTAGAGCTGATCGAAGAAGGCAAAAGAAGCAGAGAGACGGAAACGTCGCTGCATTCAATAAGACAAGAGTAGTCCATTACAAATATAAACACTATAGGGCCGAAGAAGGCCTCAGCAAAGGGTTCGAAACACCATCTTGCTTAAGAAACAAGAGCAGTCCATTACAAACATCGACCCTAGAAGTTTAAGTATGAGAAATAAAGTTCTTCATTACTTAGGAAAATTTTCATGTAACTTGTGTTTTAATGTGTAAAATAATTGAGCCCCGTATGTTGAAATTATTTAACATAAAGTTTTTGTTACATGTTATGAATAAATAATGTTTTTTATACATTATATACCTTTTTTTTTACAAAAACTGACAATCTGTTTGCTGTTAAGCACAAAAGCTACATAACGGACTATCTGTGCTATGCTCACCTCAAAGATCGAACCCCGAACTTTACCGTTATAACCTCCAAAGCTTATCGCTGATCCACCAGGTGGAACTTGATAAAATTCATGTGAGTGGGTGCAATAAACATAGATTAAATTAATGTTTTAAAATTTTGATCTGTGAAAAATCTATATATTTAAAAGAACAGTGTGTGTCAGTCTGTCCATGCGTGTATGCTTGCTAGCTCATAGGGAATTCCAGTATTATTTCTATTGGCTTATTGTATGGTGGTACTTTTACATTTATACTAGTGCAAAATGAACGACACCTAAAAGTCTAACGTTCATTGTTCTATAAAAGTGCAAAATACGTTTATAACATTAATTTTAACTGCAATTACATCAGTAATATAAACAAACACTCAAGGAAACACACATCTCCTTTACCTTTCCGTTGCTTATAAATAACTCAATAACGTTACATCTTTATACAAATTCCAAATTGCGCTTATAAATCGGCAAATATGCCTAAAGTTTAGATACGCCTCGTAAGTAAAGCACGCGAGTTCACCCCCCCCCCCTCAACCCCCTATATAATATAATCTACGGAAATTGGCTTTTAATTGACACTGCCACAACTTCATTCATTTCGATGCTCTACAGCTAACACATTGAGCGAATGAAAATAACTGGAGGCTTCAGATGATTCAAATGCGATTCAGACACACACATAAGAAATTTACAAAACAACACATGACGACAGTTCGTTTTTACACTTGATACCATATTTTTTTTAAATCACTATTTTATAACTATATCAATATAGGCGCCTAAAAATCGAAAATTAGGCTTAAACTTTAAATACGCTTCGTACGCGAAGAACGAGTTTACCTGCTTGGGGAATACAATATTACACCATTTACGTTATTGGTGTAGAGGGCCCCACACTTTGTTAATAATTTAGGGGAGAGTGAAAAAGAGTTAATACTATTATAGAAGGAAAAAAGAAAAATAAGTGATATAGCGACAAATGAAGACAGTTGATTTTTACATTTTTTGATAAAATAATTTTAAAAAATTCACTATTTTATAACGTCGCTTTAACGAGAGTTCGATCAAGAAAAAATCTCAAGATCTTAGTCAAAGATAGCAATTATCCACAAAGACATGGTGTTGATACAAAGAATGTTGTGTACGGAGTGTTATATTTCGTTTGTAGTCATTCCATATTTTGCACTTATTTACTTTAAATCTAAATACAACTCCGTATTCTACTATTAGCGGTTTTTGCTTCATCCATGTTCAACTACATAATATAACACCAGCATTATTTAAAGGATTTGTTTATTTAAAACATATACCCTTCTCATTCCTCTGAATAATGCTGCATATGTATAAAAATATTGGGGCTTTGGCTCATATGTCACAGCACACACTTCGTATGCGGTAGGTCGAGGACTCAATTCCGTCTATATAGACCCCCCCCCCCAAACAATGTTTCAGTAGTCAACTTTAATACATATATCGTACAGGAAGCACACGTGTATCCCCTAGTAATGAAATTAGACAGTTTCTAATTATTTAACTTATGTATTAAACTACATTTCAAGTAATGTGTCTTTCACTTTATTTTTATTTTATGATTTACATGCAGTGAATTATTAACTTTGTAATTTTTCCCATATTTAGCCTAATCGTGTACTTACTTTCTGTATTGTGAACTGGACCTAAACTTAGCGATGTCAAAGCTTGGAGCATGAGGCATGTGAATAGTAAAGGCGTTCGGAAGCACAATAAACTCGAACCTGAAATGAAATGCCAGTTAATATATTACACGGAGTTAAGTTGAAATTTCTAATAATTTGTAAATAATCGGATATCGACTTAATTGTATTCGTATTGAAATATTAATACTTTCAAATTCCAATTCTTTTAGTACCTTCAACAACAGAGCATTTAATATACTAACCCTTTTTTCTGTAGCAAAAGTAAACTCGAAGTTCTTTTTAAATTATTAACAGCATTTCTTCGTGTTTGTTAAAAGAACAAAAAATTCAGTTTATGTTTAAATTTTCTAACAGAAAATAAAGTTTTGTTTCATTTTCATGAAATTCATTTCTCTTATAAAATATACAAAACTAATTGGGATCAGTATAGTGTTTCAGGTCTCTTGTAATAACCAATGCGAACTTTCCTTATCCATTTTCAAACTCTTTGACTACTTTGTTTATCTAAGTTTAGTTTGGCCTTTAATTATATATACACGTACTAGCTAGTATACCCGTTCAACACACAAGGAAGACATTGAAGCCCTGGGATGATGAAATAGGGAGGATTCAGATCCGAACGCCGACCCCTACGTCACTCCCTGGGGGACTCTAAGGGTATACATGCAAGTTTAGTGACAACAGGTCCAGTTTTTCGCCAGTTATAAGTAGGCACACATATCTATACAAGCTTTTGCAAAATAATGATATTTTAAATATAATATCCTCAACCATGCTAACCAAAGTTACTGAATATTTACCCTTGCGCATGAAGTTCCATCACGTGGGAAACTTTGTTCCAGCCAAACCCAACAAATTTTCTGTCGTAATCAGGAACATTTCGTCGGACGACAACATAAGGTTCAAAGTCCGGTTCCCAAAGGACTCGGTAAGGAGTGGTAGCAGTTCTCCATTTCGCGTAATTAGTTGGGGCGTGTCCACGTGTCCACACATGGTACCTATATATTAAAAAGACTAATGATTGAACCCGTAATGTGAAACTCAGAAAATCCATCTAATTACAAATTTAACTGGAAGATTTCTTAAGAAACGTTTTGTAAAACAGCGGCTCCTTATTCGTTATGCTGTCATGCGTTAAAACTAACAAAGACAATCAGAGACCATCTGTATTTAATAATAATAAAAACAAGTGTTTACAAGATTCCACCATTGCTCTGTTTTGGAGGTAAGATATTAAATACAGGAATTCGAAATCTAATTTCAAATTCATATTTCGCATTGCGTATCGTCATTTAAAAGTAATTACGCAAGGTCTCATTGTTGACGGTCCGTTGCCATATAAACGCAATCCGCAACTTGTTGTTATGGGCGCTCTAAAGGAGCGATGACTAAATCCTACTATTCGGCATGACAAAAGTAGCCCCAAAGTTAGCGGTGGGTACTTTTAATAACTAACAAAATTAGCTCAAAAGTTAGCGGTGGATACCTTTAATAACTAACTGTCTTCCCTTTTATTTCTCACTTAAACATTATGGACGACTATGCGCAAACAGTCTTTTGTGTATCTTAGAACAAAAATTCTTAAAGCTGAAAGACGTAATAATTCTGTGATTCTTTTTGCTAAAATGTATCATTTGGAAGTTTATCCGTATTTAAGACACAGAAAAAAATACTAGTAATCCAAAGGTTGCCCCCACAGCATTATGCAAGCTGAGTCTCCTTAGTCAACTTTAATGTCAAGTGTTATAATGGTATGTTAATCGTAAGATAAAAATAACAACTTCTCTCCTGTGTTTTAACACTGTTATTTTGGCCTTCTCCTGTCTCAAGTGTTGCTGCCATAATTGTTTTTGTCTCGCCTATCCCATATTTTGTTAACATTGTTGTTTTGGCTTTCTCCTATCTTATCTTTTATTAACATTGTTGTTTTGGCTTTCTCCTATCTCATCTTTTATTAACATTGTTGTTTTGGCTTTCTCCTATCATCTTTTGTTAACATTGTTGTTTTGGCTTTCTCCTATCATCTTTTGTTAACATTGTTGTTTTGGCTTTCTCCTATCTCATCTTTTATTAACATTGTTGTTTTGGCTTCCTCCTATCTCATCTTTTGTTAACATTGTTGTTTTGGCTTTCTCCTATCATCTTTTGTTAACATTGTTGTTTTGGCTTCCTCCTATCTCATCTTTTATTAACATTGTTGTTTTGGCCTTCTCTTAATTCATTGATCGTGAATATTATTCTTTCGGCTTTCTCCTGCCTCGTTCTTTGCTAGAATTATTGTTTTGATTTTCACCTGCACGATATTTTGTTAACATTGTCATTTATCGTTTATTAGCAATGTTGTTTTGACCTCCTTCTGATTCACTGTTTGTGAACAGTACTGTTTTGACTTTCTTCTTCCTCAAATGTTGTTAAAATTATTATTTTGGTCTTCTCTTATCTCATAATGTGTTAGCTTTATTATTTTGGCTTTTTCTTGCCTCAAATGTTGTTAACATTGTTGTTATGGTATTTTCCTGCCTCATCTTGGGGTAAGTTTCGAAGACTTTTAGATCTTCCTGCTGAGTCCCTCAGATGCGTGAAAATAATGAAATATCGTCAGTAAAATTTTCTCTTGGTAAGTATTATTTAGGAAACATTATCAACACACAACCTTTGCTGTCAAGCAAGATAACTACCACATTATGATGTGGAACTAGATCAATATGAGCCCATATCTTTATATGCACACATACCTAAATGTGAATAGAGTTCCCATATCGAGCATGGAAAGTAGCTCAGCTTTAGACTTCGGAAAGGAGAGTCGATAACGTTGTGTTTCGAAGGCCGGAACGATAAGTGCCTACAAAGAAAGAAAACATGTTGAGTGTCAACGGGAAACTTATAAGCAGCTATAAACTAAGCCGTCTTACGGTACCGGATTCCTAAAAAACTATAAACTAAGCCGTCACACAGTACGGGAGCCCTACAAAACTATGAACTACGTCATCTTGCAGTACCCGAGTCCTACAAAACTATAGACTAAAATATCATGCAAAAATACAAAACCCTATAACCTGAGCGCTTTCGAAAAGAGGACTTATTTTCATCAGGGACAAAGCTTCTCAGTTAAAAAGGTCCACCTTTAGAAAACGCTCGGAATATAGTGTTTTGTCTTTTTGTGTTAAATTGATTTTTTGAACCTACCTATTTTCCTAATTTCATGAAAACGATATCACGTAGTACTCAAGTCCTACAAAACAATAATCTAAGGTATCACGCAGTATGCGAATCCTACAAAACTAAGCCGTCTCGCAATGCAGGAATCCAACAAAACTATGAACTAAGCCGTCTCGCAATACATGAGTTCTGCAAAACTAAGCCGTCTCGCAATGCAGGAATCCTACAAAACTGTAAACTAAGCTGTCACGCAATACCAGAGCCCTACAAAACTATGAACTAAGCCGTCTCGCAATACAGGAGTTCTGCAAAACTAAGCCGTCTCGCAATGCAGGAATCCTACAAAATTGTAAACTAAGCTGTCACGCAATACCAGAGCCCTACAAAACTATGAACTAAGCCGTCTCGCAATACAGGAATCCTGCAAAACTAAGCTGTCATGACGTAATGGAGTTCTACAAAACTATGAACTAAGTCGTCTCCTAGTACAGGAGTTCTACAAAACTGTGAATTAAGCTGTAACGTAGTGTCAGAGTCCTACAAACTGTGAACTAAGCTGTCAAGCAGTACCAGCGTCCTACAAAATTTTGAACTAAGCTGTAATGACGTACCGAGTTCTACAGAACTGTGAACTAGATTGTCAAGCAGTACCGGAGTTCTACAAAATTTTGAACTAAGCTGTAATGACGTACCGGAGTTCTACAGAACTGTGAACTAGACTGTCAAGCAGTACCGGAGTTCTACAAAACTATGAACTAAGCTGTCACGTAGTACTGCTTACATACAAGTTACTTCAGTTTGACTCTTAGTAGCTAAGACCAGAATGGTATACAAACTGGTGAATAAAACATATTGACTTCATTTCTACAGTACTTATGAATTTTAGTGGAGTCAAAATAGGGATTTGTAGCTTGAGAAAATAATATAGACACTATTTCCAGCCTTGTTTGTTTACTTTTTTTTAGAGTTCCTAGTTGTAGGCTTGAAAATATAATCTTTGCATTTTGATTCAACTTGTATGTGTACTTTTTTTTGACGGTCCCTATTCCCCCTTTTTAAATTAAAAATTGTTAATTATCTTGTTTATTAAGTTTTTTTTTATATCCGTTTCTGGAGAATAAATTTTACGTTACACGTTTTTCAACAGTTTACTGCTGCAATAACTTTTTTTTTTCACTCAACCATTGTTTACTGAGCCAGGTGGTTTTGTGCTTGTTGTTTCGTGTAAACACGCGTTTAACAAGCGTCGAGTTCAAAGGAAGCAGCTCACAACAACATCGTACATATATTATGTACTTATAATCTAATAAATAAACTTTCAGTGAAAAATAATAAAGTTTTTAAGTAGGTCATGGACATTCACAACGTTTCATATAGTATATCTGTCTAGGTTTTGGTGCAAAATACCCAGCCGATTGTAATCTTGTAAAACAAAAATATGAATAATGATAATAAAATAATACTAAAATACACACTCACAATTTCAGCGAAGACGAAAACCAGTAGAATAAATCACCACTCACAAGAGTAGAGAAATCTACTATGATAGTCGTCTACTATTAGAAATCTCAACGAAATAGTCGTATAAAACCATGTAGAGACAAAGTACAACAGGAACCTCGAGAGACAATGGAGAACAGCGAACTCGAGAAATGATTAATCCTCAACATAGCAGTTTACAATTACTATACCATAAGTTGCACAAATTATTTTACAATTAATGTGCATTAGTAAAACACCACATTTTTTCAATGGCGGAAAATGAAGGACTTAGAGAAATCCTTCAGGGCGAAAAAACGAAGGCCCTTGAATTAATTTTAAAACTACCCTATGACGTACCCAATACTGCATTCATCACTAATGCCCAGGTTTCAGTAAAATATTCGTTGCCGTTTTTTCTGTTGTGGCTTGTAAAACTATAATAAGTATTAATAAGATTGGAAACATTGTTATAAATATACTCATTGGTTACTCCAATAAAACGAAGCGTTTCCGACTTGTATAAAATGGAGCATTTCCGACTAATTTAACAGTATTTAAATGACTTCTACACTTCTGCGATGCATGAATGGCTTCAAAGAGCTTATGTTGGTAGCGAAGAAGAACGTAGAAAATTTTAGAGTGTGGAAATCTCGACTTTCAAGAATCAACTTCAAAGTAGCCTTACAACATTCGAAGGAGTTTGTTTCGTAGCTGTGCATAGATTTTGGCGCAGTATACCTAGCCGTTTTTTTTTGTTGTATACTTCAGTGCTTGAATGACTTCGAAGAGAATCTTGGCCAATAGCGATGAAAAAACTGATAAAATCTCTCCTTCTTCTCAAGAATCAAGATAAAAATAGTCCCATGGTCTGCACAGGTGTTTTTTAGTAGGTTGAGCAAGGTTTGAATAAAATATTCATAGCTGATTTTTTTTTTTTTGTAGGCTTGTGAAGCAATAATAAAAATAATAACACGAAGAACATATGGATGACTTTTGAACTTTTTCTAACAATCGGAAAAATCAGCTTTTTTCCATTATCAATATATTAGCAGCCTTAGACATTGAGATAGAAGGTTTTGGGAGTTGTTTTCAGAACAAGTCTGCTTTTTAAGATGGTTTTTGTCAGTATATTCTATAATAATTTTTGTGAAATTCCTGAGTGATCCCTATTATGAACCACTGTCGTGGTTCATGATAATGTGACTTTATAAAAGTCTCTAGTCTTTAAGTCAGTTGGCTTAGCTGGTGTAGTTCTGCAATAAAACTGGCGTTTTTTTTTTAAAAAAAATCGATTTTCCTTGAATTTTTCGAAAAATGAGTAAACATCGTTTAAAACAACCAAACTGTCGCCCTCTAGCGGCAAGTCTGAAAGTTTATAACACTAAAATACAGGTTTCAATGCTCGTACTGGGCACAACATAGACAGACAGACAGTCCATTGTGTAGACTTGCTCTTAACAACAAACAAACAAAAGCAACCAAATTATTAATTTCAGTCATGTAGTTCTGAAAGTACCTAAAATATTCTTATTGCTTACCTTTCATATACAAGATATTGAAAAGGTTATCAAGGTTTTGATGTCGTGTCACTCTTCACCAAAATTCCCGCCAATGAAGTTTGCAATATCGCACTCGACCTCTACATTAATGACCTCAACAAGTTAATCCACATCCCCCGCACACTTTTTGCTTCTTTCTTAGAATTTACAACAACTAAAACCAACTTCATTTTTCAACAACGAACATTTCCTTCAAATAGATGGTTTAAGTACGGGCAGTCCTGTTTCACCCGTTCTTGCCAATATATTCATGACCCAGATCGAAACACAAGCCATACATTCTGCGCTTCATCCCCCACTATACTGGTACGGATATGTCGATGACACTTTTGCCGGTTTCACTTCTACAGAACACACACTAATTTTCTTTGGACATATAAAACTCTATTCATCCCGAAC